ACGATTTACACGTCAATTTCTTCAGTTCATTTACGGAAATAAATCGTTATTATTTTAGCATCTATAAAGACACATGCAAGACAGGAAAGTACCAGAGTAAAGTTAAATTTTGTGACAGTTCTAGAAATCCCCGTGGATGTACTATTACTTGCACACATATTGCTAAAATATGGCTTTTAAAGATATCAAAATCAAAATTTGCACATCAATATATATACAACTGACTTACATAAACAAATGTTAAAAATGGCATTTTCAATGACAAAAACAGTAATCTTTTTAGAAAAGACGAATTGATTGTATGCTCTGCAAATGTTTGCTTCTACGTAGCATGTGTTATGAATTACATAAAACCATCAAGTGATTAATAATAAATAAATTTTATCATGTACATGTGAACAACAGATTTAAATAAGAAAAAATAAACAGATTCGTAAGAAAGATTGAATTTTTGTTGATATTGATGGTGATGATTTATGCGTATTAACTGAAATAAAAAAAAGAAAATTCGAAATACGGACTTTGAACTATTGAACATTTTTCAACATGACAGCGGTTTAAAGTATACTGAATTTGGAATGCCAGCACTTTTCTTGCAACTTGTGGTTTTAACAAAATAAATTTGCATGTATAATTTCGTAACGTGTAACTGCGTGAATAATATAGGGATTTCCTATAGATTCATTTTATTTAGATGATATAAGGAAGATTAAGCATTGTCAATATTCATAATAAAATATGTTTGACATATTAAAAAAAACAATAAAAAGAGGTTATAATTCAGGAATCTTTAGAAAAAAAAAAAAAAAAAACGGTCTGTTGCTGTTAGATTACGAATTCATGTAGGTGAGGTAGCGCAGTTATATTACAATGTTAGACAAGCGTTCTAGAATTAGATATTCCCTTACAAAAATACCATAGTTAACTATAGTAAATCAAAGTTTTTACTAGAGTAAATCCATATATTTTTACCATGGATTTAAGATATTTATACTTTTTTTATATTGAATGGAAATATTACATGAATATTCAGATATTATTTCCAAATTCTACACAATTGTTATCCAGTCCAAGATATCATAAGGTTGAAGATCCCCTAAAAAGGTTCTAAGTAAAGTAGAGTTTCAAAGTAAATCGAAGTCAAAGCACTTACTATAGTTAACTATTGTAAACAAAAGCTAAATACAGTTAATTTTTTGCTACGGTTTTGTCGAAAAGCTGACCCCTATGAGAAAGGATTTTTACTTGTCTCAACAAAAAGAAAACAAAGAAGTTGAAGATGAATGCGCATCATTCAAGTAACTGAAAGAGTAATTTGCAAACACTTTTGAAGAACAGGGTGAACTGAAAGTGACATAAGCAACAATGAGGCCAATCTTTTCCCTAACAATGATATTATATTTTAGAACATACAAGTTTTTTGGGACGATGATTTAGTTACACAGAGGAGTAGTACAGCAATAAGAGCATGTGAAATTTTTTGCAGTGTAACTAGTTGGATCATATCCAGAGCAATCCTGTCGGTTTGAAGTTTTCTCCCACCATACCTTCCGGCATTCCTGTTCAGTGACACATCTGAAACAATACTATGTTATATGCTTTATTCTGAGATTCAAAAATGTATTGCAGAGCTTCTTTCTTCGCATTATTATGAGATGATGTTTTCTTAACTAGTAACATAAAATAGTGGCAAAGTCCATATCTGTGTGATCAAAACATGAAGTAGGAGGGGCACAATGGCAATACGTAATAAACATTCTATGGAAGTATCATTAAATAATAAGTGGTAGAGGGGGAGTTCTGCATAAGAAATGGGTAACCTTGATATCATAGACAGAATGGTAGTTTCCATGTTTTGGTATAGAAAACCTGGGATATTTGCTGTGGGAAACCGGATATATATATCAAATTCGACTCTCTGATGGAGCAAACAGGTCTCGTGTGGCAAACGTCTGAACGTAGCGTCTACCATTATTAAAAGACTTTATCGACCAAAGTCAAATCGTTTTATGTACAAGAGCAGCGCCGCAAGAATTCCCTCGGCATCAAAAGCAAGTTTTTTGACTTGTCTAGATAGCCGAGCGCTCTAGCGCGCTGTTCCTGTACTGCTAGGAGACAGATTCCGTAGGTTGAGAGTTCAACCCCGGGCTGGGGCGGAAGTGGGTATCCTTATAAAAGTGAATTTCTTTGTGCTTTCTACATTAATATTTCTTCACTTAGGGCCGTTATGTTAGTTTAAGAGTTGTTGTAAAATGCGCTTTATAAATAAAAATTACTTTCATTACAACGTGTATTGGTAACGATCCTCTAATAAAACTAATGTCAAATAACTGTATCTCACTTCAATTCCATTCTCAATGACCATGTAGTGTAGAGCAGCGCTGCGAGAATTCCATCGGCATCAAAAGCAAGTTTTTTGACTTGCCAAGATAGCCGAGCGCTCTAGTGCGCTGTTCCTGTACTGCTAGGAGACAGGTTCCATAGGTCGAGAGGTCAACCCCGAGCTGGGGCGGAAGTGGGAATCCTTATAAAAGTGAATTTCTTTGTGTTCTCTCTCTCTCTCTCTCTCTCTCTCTCTCTCTCTCTCTCTCATATATATATATATATATATATATATATATATATATATATATATATATATATATATATATATATATATATATATATATATATATATATATATATATTCTCAACCTTATGCAACTTAAAACAATAATGTAAAACTTTCAATATACTTTTCAATCAATTTTATTTTGCTTTGTTTTTGTTTTTTAACTAGATTTTTATTTGAAAATGAAACTCAAGCAAGACTGCAAACAAAAACTGAAGTTGTTACTTTGAGAGCATGCTGTGAAGGGTGTTGGTGTTTAAGACATTGGAGTAGTGAGGGGAATGGGCATGGGCGGTGTGGGCCTTGATGTTGACAAGGTAGGCGTTGTTGTGGAGGGGTAGGGCGGTGTCAAAATCGAGGTGGGCTTTGTTGTAAGCAATGTGTGCCTTGTTGTGGACAAGGTTGGAGTGGTTGACGAGGTGGGTGTTGTTGATACCGAGGTGGGCTTTGTAGTGGACAAGTTGTGCCTTGTTGTATACAAGGTTGGAGAGATTGATACGATGGGCCTTGTTTTTGACGAGGTGGGCCTTTTCGTAGAGAAAGTGGGCTTTGTGATGGACGAGTGCAAATCCTGTCTTGTTGTTGACAAGATTGGAGTGGTTAACGAAGAAAGTGTTGTTGTGAACGAGGTGGGCTTTGTAGTTGACGAGATGGATTTTGTCCTGGAGGCGGTGTGGCTGCCCATGAACGATAAAGGTGTTTTTGTGGGTGAAGTGAAAGTAGTGAACAAAGTAGGTGGAACGATTGTAATGGATCCTGTCGTAGTCTTTGATGTCACTTAATTAATTGTATGTTGTTTTACGTCCCATGCGAGAATTTTTCACTCGTATAGAGACGTCACCATTTACCGGTGTAGGGATTCAAATTTTGACCTTTACTCGGCACTCAGGGCCACTAAGCAGTAAGGCATCTTTACCGTGCCAAAGCCTGCCGGGATACGGGACCTCGGTTTTTAATGTCTCATCCGAAGGACTTTACTTCAAAGTACCGAGCGCATGGCGAAGGAACAATTGCTACCCTTTTTTATCGACTTAGGTCAGTCTTGGCTGAGATTCGAACTCACGACCTCCCGATCACGGAGCAAGCGCTCCACCGATTGAACTACCGTGAACAGTGATGTCACTTAATTTAAAGAAAGAAGACTATCTTGACGGAGATTTTCTAAAACCGCACATTGCTCTGTTTTTGCTCTCCTTTTGCTCTCTTTTACTGCTTTTTCACCGTTTGTTCCGCTGCTATACTTTCGTTCAATGCTCTTTCACTGCTCTCTCTGTTCGTTCACTGTTCACTACATACAAGAATGAGTCGCCTGCGTTGGCAATGGTTAGAGCGTTTGCTCTAGAGTCGCGGAGTAAGGAGTTGATCTTTAAGTCGCGGGTTCGAATTCCACTATGGGACGTGGAGACCGGTCCCTCGGATGAGAGCGTAAAAACCGAGGTCCCGTGTCGCAGTAGGTGCTGGCACGAAAAAGATCCCTCATTGCTCAATGGCCATGAGTGCTGAGTATAGGTCAAAATTTGTAACCCTCCACCGGCAAGTGGTGGCGTCTCCATATAAGTGAAAATTCTCTAGAGGGACGTCAAACAACAAACAATGAAAGACATTGCCAAAACACTGACCATTTCATTATCACAGAATTTTAAAGAATCCTGAAAAAGTTGATGAATATAGTAATATTTCTATCAGATGGGTGCCTAGCTTTTTTTTCACATGCCTAACTCAAAATATGCGTTAAATGTGCCAGCGATCTATTTAAAAACAAATATTTTGACAAAAAAGAAGATTTGATAAACTGGAGTGATGAATGACGAAACATGGATGCACTTTTTAGCCGAAAAATGAAGATCAATAATATAATGCAAAATCAAAGAAAAAACCTTTCGCCTGATTATTGTAAAGAGAAATAAGGGCTCCAAACATACGTGTTTTTCAAGTTATCATTTTTTTTTTTCAAGAGGTCAAGTAAAACATGTAAATGAAGGATCATGAATGATAACTTTTATGTTCAAATTGCACAAAGGAAAGTAAAACAGATTTTCTGCCAAGGAAGTCCAAATACAGGTCCATATTTTCTTGTACCTGACAATGCTGCTGCAGATAAGCATAAAGAAATGAACGAAATTTTGAAGAAAAAAATACTAACAGAGCATTGCCAACCCTTATTCGCAAGATCACAGCCACTGTGAATTCTATTTATTCCGAAAACCCATGAAAACAATCGAAGGAAGATTGTACAATATTAGATATGTCATGGAAAGTGATATTCATCAGTGTTTCTGGGACATACCTTATATCTCCTTCGGTTGCACAACAATGATAGCAAATCCTTGTTGTTCGTTTGCCTATGATGTTATTAGGTCTCACTGCTGCATGAGTACCATGAATATTTGGCCCTTCAAGACTACTTGTGCTCAAAGAGTCACAGGTCTAAGCAATGAAATGTAACAAGATAGGACCGATTTGTTTAAACACTAAGTGGATTGTAATGCTTAAAATCTTTTTAAATGAGATGTTCATCGAAGCAAACATATCAATACCTGTTTGGATGCACAACCAGAACTGTAAACCAAAAATCCATAGTTACTCAAGGTTTCTGATGTAAAGCATACCTACAAAGACATTTTCTAAAATATGACTCAAAACCATTATATGAGGTTATGATACTGAAGGCATATACTAAGTCATCTCTGTCATAATTCCCTTCACACCAGCTCCCAAAGTAAACACTCCTCCTCGGATATAAAAAATAGCGACTTGATGCTAGTATGGTGTTGACTATTACATTATCACTACTGCTTGTGAGGTTAAGAAATGTTAAAAGAAAGGTTAAGTTAATGATCATGTTCAGAATTTTATTCATCAAGCTGTCTCTGCTCGCATATAGCTTTGAACATCAGAGAAGGATTAATATTTCATCGAGATATTCCTGTAGCACACGTACATAGCTTGTAGTTACCATTTTTTTCGATATTGACGCAGGGTCTCTTCACCGATACTAGTTTCTATATGGACTGAGAATTAAATTTTCGAAAATTTTAGTAGTCAGAGCAAATGAGTCATCAGTCTTACATGAAATCTGACTATAATGATTAGCATCCATGCTCAAAGTTAAAACAAACAAACAATATACAATTTGTGAGCATTCTAAATTTTTATGCATACTATAGGTTTTCCATTCGATTTTCTTTATTCACAGAATTATATCTTTTAATATTTTTCAAACCTACAAGTTTCTGGAAAATTTTCTTATTACTATAGGGAAAATGAGTTAGAAAATTTGAGAATTATAATATATTTTATTTTTTGCCTCTTACATTTTCCTCTGGAATAAGTATATCATATTTTAAAGTTACCGACATTCATCAATAGAATTCAAAATACAAACATGCCTTTGGATAAGGTATTGTCATGGAATGAACACAACTTTTTAGACTTATCTTAAAATAATTTTGCTTACTAGGTATGTTACTCAACAATGTATATCATATTGCATAAAATTTTATTATGTGTTTTCCTTATCTGAAACTCACAAAATTTTAATAATAGGTTTACCTCTCCTTGTGGACAAACTCGTATGTTTTGTTGGCAGGATGCGAAGTCCCTTACATGATTACACACGTAGCATACTTGAAGACAACTGGAGACTGAAGACATCCCAAAGAGAGTAGTCAGAGAGTATATGAGTATATCAATCAACATTTTCCTTTTAAAGGTAAAAATATGAAATACATTTTTTTTTCAAACTGTCAGTTTTATACATGTAAGACGCGTTAAGCTAAGTATAAACCACCGAAATTTAATTTGCTTTATATTTTCAAGAAATCCTTGTGTATTTTAACTATTATCCTATGGTTTCTTCTAATCTAAAGTAAACAACGGTCTAATTTATGTAAAACAGGGCGACTTGTACGCTCCTTCAAAATGAAAAATCACCAATAGTATGCACAGGTAACTGATATTGGGCCCTAAAGATAAAGATAAACATTTTCAATGTTTATACTTTTGTAGAAAGATTAGTAAAATATAGATCATGAAACAATTAAGAAAAATGTTTGAAAAATCTGAAAAATTATGTATAATTTCTCCGAATGGCAATTAAATACAAAATTGCCCAAACATTTTTTATCAATTTCAATGGCAAGAAACATATACTTCCAGACCAGGCATCAGGCTAGTTCATTCTGCATTGTCACCGAAATAAGATTGAACTATCACTCAACTTTCAAAGTTTGTTATCATTATAATTTGAGAGATATCTAAAACGACAGATAGGTTAAGAAACACATTATTTTAAAGAAATCATGATTGTAGACAAATTTGATATTTGCATTTATCTAAACCTTACAACTGTGAACTTTTAATGACTAATGTTGGATTCAACAGACACTCTGATTTGTAAGAATTTATAAAATCTACACATATCATTTGTTTCAACATCCGCGTAACTCTGCATATATAACGGAGGAGAAATGGAAAGTTTATACAGCAGGCGTGCATATGTAATATGTTTCCTTTAAAAGTACTAAATACTGCAATTTTATAGAAAAAAAATATTTAAAAAATCATTTTTAATGTCATATAGAGTAAACACATCAGCCCTGTGTATTGATCAAGTACATTAATTATAACCTAAATCCCTGTACCATCAGCTTATGTGTGAGAAGCCTGCCTCGTTTTAAAGATTGATAGTACTCAGAGCATGTTCTTGTGTAGTGAATATGTTTGGAGACATAGACACAATATGCAGTTGATTACAGAATATTTCTACGTAAATAAGAAAAGTTGGAAAAGCTAAATTCATCTCGTTTGTCTTACATTCATTTCCAGAATTTACCTTTTTCCGACGTAAGAAATCCATAAATGTCCATCTCTTTACATGCACATAACATACAACTAATATACATACAGATAAGATCTTGAACTTTGACTCAATACGTTGATAATTATCAGTAAGTACTCCAGTTCATGGAATTTATTGCAATAGATTTGTAATGGAATTATTTCTCCCAGAAAAACAACTTCATTTTTTTAATGTAAGCATGGAACATCGTTATAAAAACGTTATCTTTGAATATTTTATAAAAACAATGGAAATGAAATTCAATTGTCTTTCCAGTATTTCAATAAGTACTACGTCGCAAACTGACTTGAACCATGAGTTGGCTGGAAAATTTGTTTGTTTTTTAACGTCTCCCTCCAGAATTTTTCACTCACATGGAGACGCCACCACTTACCGCTAAAGGATTGTAAATTTAGACCTATACTCAGCACTTAGGGCCATTGAGCAGTGAGGGATTTTTTTCGTTCCGACATTAACTGCGACACGGAACTTTGGTCTCTCCAGGTCTATCGCTGGACTGTTAACATGTAGTAGACTATCATTCTCTTATATTTTTAGCAGTTTTGAAAACTTTAAAGGTGAGGTCCGTTGTGTGCCATTATGGCAATAGCCATACAAGGTAGATTTCTTAACCTGATGAATTACAATAAAACATGCGGGTTAAAGTTCACGAATCTGGCAATCCTTGTTATTTATAAAATCAACTGATACCAGCAAAATATGAGCTACACTTGACATTTCTAGCTACTATATTTGCTAACACAGTCGAATAGAAAAAAGACTCGGGGAAATGTAGACGCTGCGTGTCACATTTGCATAACGAGTTAAATAAACCCTTTCTAGATGGAGATGTTCTACGAACACTATTGTTTAAATGATAACTCAGTTTTTATTAATTTTATTTATTTTGAATTACTGGTTTAACCACATACAAAATAACGAATAACCATAACGCCTAGCATATTCCACATACTTTTGGGCAAGTCTTAGCTTGTTGATTGTCTAAACAAGCAACAGCCACAAAACTAAAATCAGAACATCTCGGATCTGTATCAATACAAGAGGGCTTTGTTGTATGTACAGGTGTGTGAGAGCATAGTCCACAGGTTTTCTCACAAAGATGTCCCCTAGAGGGATCAAGACAGATCGTGGATACAAATGTAAAATCACTACAACGTGCGTCTTTGTCACAACAACCATGACAAGACGTCGTAGGCATAGTTGTGGTTGTAGTGGGTGTTGTTGTAGTAGTGGGCGTGGTTGTTGTAGTGGTGGGCGTGGTTGTTGTAGTGGTGGGCGTGGTTGTTGTAGTAGTGGGCGTTGTTGTTGTAGTAGTGGGCGTTGTTGTTGTAGTAGTAGGCATGGTTGTTGTAGTAGTTGGCGTGGTTGTTATAGTAGTGGGTGTGGTTGTTGTAGTTGTGCTAGGAAATTCTTGGTTTAAAAAATAAATACATGATTACTATTCAGTTGTTCAATAAATTTCTTTGACTATTAAAAAATCTTATGGCTTTCATTTTATTTCACCAACATATGTTTATTCGTACTTAACAACTGCATTTATTTGTACAGGGTTAAGATATCTTTAAGACAATAAGTAAAACAGAAGGATTACATTTTCACTATTATTTCAAAAATCTATGCGTTTTTATCAACTTGAAAACTTGCTCCGTTTTTAGGAGTACAATTTTAATTTTTAGATGATTTGAAGGGTTAAAAAGTGAGGCAACCTTACACTTCCAAGTTATAGAAAAGAGGAAGAAACGTAGAACTATAAAGGAAATTAGCTGGAAAATATGTACAGTGATTTAGATAAAAATATTTCAGTGTAAATGTATTTTTAAAGACAAAAATATCAAGTAATCATACGACTCGGCGTAAAAAAAAATCAGAATTAAACCTACTCGGCTGAATGTATCCTTTTGCTGTTATGAAACCGTTTACATTTGTAGCAGTGCATGTGTACGTGCCAAAAGACGTCACGTCCGCTGACAATGTCAAGGAAGGTTGGTTGCTGAGAGTAATACCATTTGGAGAAGTTGATACACCATTCACAAGCTAGACCAAATAATTCAGACAAAATTAAGTTCCCTAATAGAGTATATCAATATGCTAACAAACGTTTCGTTATATACTAGGCACATAATCATAATGATACATCGCACGCTTCCGGGTTATGCCAGACGAAAATTAAATAAAAAGTCAATTTATATAGGCACATATAATTGATGAAATATATGGAGATAACGAACAGAATTCAAGCTCAAAAGTCCATTCAAACAATACAATTCAGGAGCAGAGCAAACTCGGACCTTTGAAACATCAGAGGTGGGATCAGGAGCAATGGAGGATTGAGCATCCCCTGCCGACCCATTACACTAGCCTTGTGCTCCTTGTCTTGATCGGGAAAAAAGAAAATGTGTAGAGAACTCAGTGTAAATAATGACCTAACAATTGGTGTGAAAAAACGTCAGTCAGCGTTTGATTTAATGATAGGCTTGTATTTGCTGACAGGGTCATTGTATCGACCAAAGAATTTGCAAAATTATTACTTTGAGCGAGACTGTTAATATTCTTATTTTTTCAACTTGTTTATCAATAACTTCGTTTCAGAAATTGTTCGTACGTAGAGTATGCTCTTGTGTGAGAGATATAAGCCCCTAATGCAGGTGATTAGGGTATATTGCTACTCAAATAAGGGAAATTGACGATTAAAAAGTTAAAGTCATCACATGTGTGTCATAAAGCTTTCTTGTTAGGTTACCATTAACGTCTTTCTCTAGTAAAATATCCAAATATGAAACACAGATGCGTCAGACTCTGAAGTATCTTTTATTTGAAGCTCACTGGGATATATCGTGTCGACATATGAATGGAAATAACTATTGTTAATTGATAACTTGTCGTCGTTATATCTAGATGTCGAGTTGAATGCACAGCAAGTTTTTTTTTCCTCATTTACAAGATTTTGAATAAATTCTGCTTCATATGAATACAAAAAAGCTTTGCTAATAACGGGACGAAATTAGTACCCATGGGAAATCCGACAGATTGTTGGACGACATGGTCTCCGAAAACCACTTAGATATGGTCAATCAGTAACTACAGCATCTTTTTAATATCAACGTCAGACAACTTTTGTGTACAATCAGAATTTTTTTTCAAAAAATAATTTTGCAAATGACCAAAGACAAGGCCAGTAAATTTACAAGTTCCAATTTTATTGAAAAATGAGCTGTCATAGGTGTCAATGTCCAGAAGCCTTGGTTTTAATTTATCGTAGGGAACGATTGTATATAGAGTTGAAAAGTGGTAAGTTTTGATGTTATTTATTTTGGTGAAATTATGTGATTTCAAATTTTATAAAGGTTCCTTCGAATTTTAAAGCATCTGATTTACACCACTTCTCCAATATTCTGCACAATACTCTTCTTTTTCATGTTTGGCCCATCGCCTGGCGTTATCTTCCACATAATTCATAATACAGTGTATTTATGAAATTATGATGCCAGTTGAAAGATGTGGGATACCTAGATTTTGGCCCCTTAAAAATAAGTGATTTAAGGACGTCAATATTATCTATATCTACTTCACCAGTAATGACGTGTCCAGCAGGACTATAATTGTGGGGTGAAGAAGAACATGAACATGATGGAGGATTGTTTTAAACTTTCAATATCTAGGCGAACATGTATCTTTGCTGGTGGATAGTTAGTCCCCGAGGATACTTGTCGCTGAGTACCTATTCATTCATGGTATAAACAAT